TTTTTTGAATTATAAGCACCCCCACAATAATTTTAAATAACAAAGGGGGTTAACAAAAATTTAAAAACAGAAAAGCACCTGGTTCAGTGCTCACCAACACTTTATTCTAAAAGGGCGCTTCTAGTTCTGTAATAACACTCGACGATAATAGAAGATCTCATAAGTCATGGCATAAATAATACAATGAAATTACTCAAGCTGTTAAACATCACATTTTGTCTTACTTACTTCAACAATCAACTTACTTACATCTTTGAATTTTTTCATTACTTCTACAAAATGTCACAATAAAACACTAAAAACTTTGTTTTCAAAACTTCCACAAAATTTATTATAAACTATCATCACTACAGCCGTTTCGGCCGATTCCTTTCTCAAGTGATCTATTTTTGGCATGCGTTTACACTTTATAGTCTTTACTGAAATAGGTTGAGGAAAGGAGAACTGTGTGTCTTAAGTTGGTTATTTAAAATTATATATTTGTTTTTATTTAAAATTATATCTTTGTTTGTTAATTTCTATAGATTTTGACAAAGATAGCTCAAGGCCTTTATTTTGAATGTGAAGAATTTTAAATTCGTCATTAACAGAATGATTATAATCTAGAAGGTGAAGTGCGTATGTAGAATCTGTTTTTCTATAATTGAAAGTCCTTTTATATTCTGCTATTTATTTATTAAAATTTCTACCAGTTTGACCGATGTAAGTTTTTGGGCACCACTGTGTAAGTTTTTTTTATTTTGGCTTTTGTTGTTTTATACATTTGCCTAACATGTTATTTGTTGTGAAAGAAGGTTTGTTGATACTTTGCCTGTATATGTACTCGAGCAGAAGGTACTGGGTTTTTCCTCTGGGGGTAGAAAAACTAATTTCAGGACATTCTTTTGTAGTTTTTAATTTAACATTTTATTAATTGTTTGTTCGTTGTATCCATTGTTTACTGCTATTTGCTTAATGATATTTAATTCTGTATTAAAGTTGTCTTTTGATATCGGAATTTCTGTTTATCTATGTAATATACTATGATAGGCTACTAGTTAATATTATGTGAGTTAGGATGATAAATTGTGTATAGTCGTGTCAGTATGGGTAGATTTATGAAATATGGAGAAGTCATGTTTGTGTTTAAGTGTGATAATTTTTATATCTAAAAAATTTATGGATTGATTTTGTTCTGTTTTTATTGTAAATTCAATATGACTATGAAGTGAATTAATATACGATAAAAATTGGTCGAGTTGCCTGTTAGTTCCTTTGAAACATACCAGTACGTCGTCTACGTATCTCCACCAATATAGAAATTGTTTAAATACGGGATGTTTTGAAATCTTTGTCTCTAGATCATCCATAAAATTATCTGATAGTAATGGGCTTAGAGGATTGCTCATTATAAGTACTGCACTGTTTTTTGTACATATTTGATTATTAAATTCAAAGTAGTCCTGGTTTAGGTATACAAATGTCAAGAAGATGTAAGATTTCAGATGTTAAGATTGAATTTGTACTATTTTGGTTTATTAGGTTTTTTACTAGAATAAAAGGTTCTGTAGGAGGAATATTAGTAAAAAGAATTTTACGTCAAATGAAATTAATCTGGGGTTGTTAGGTAATTAAAAATGTTGTATTTTATTAACTAGTTCTATTGTATTTTTAATGATAAATTTAGGTGAAAATTTAGTGTATTCTAAAATAATCTCTAACAGATTTTTTTGGAAGTTTATATGGCGGAGCTGTATAAAAAAAAATGGCAGGTCTTATTGGGTGGTACTACTCCGGTATTTATTATATCGACGAATAATTTTAGGAGCCATTTGCGTAGTGTTGTTCCTTCATATTTTAGCAGTTAATTTTTGATTGAAAATGCTATGAATAGCGTGAGCGCTACGGCATCACGTTGCGCTCGTGACGCCGTCTTGTAGCGCTTCTTCCGTGTCGCTCACCTCAGAATTTTACAATAAAGAAAAAGTAATACAACGCTAGCATAGAAACTTATAAAAGCAACATATAAAGGAAATTGTAAACATGATGACGGCCAACTTCTGAAACAGGGCACTCAAAGAAGAAGATAGAAGCTTCTCTCCAATAAGACATTTAGCAACCATAACAAAGCATTTCGGATTATTACAGTATTAAATTTGAGTTGTTTTAATAAGAACTAATAAAAGAAACTAATAATTATGCTTATTCACAGGTATTCAGTGCTTTACAGCAACATTATCACAACTAAGAATGATTATGCAGCTGACTTATAAAATGCGATTATCTCGAAAACTGTTGAATTTTGAAGTTATTAACAAGTGAACATTTTCTTTGTAAAAATAATGTGTCTTTAATATTTTTTAATAAAAATAGGGCTAACTTAAAGAGAGAAAGAATTAAGCGCAAATTTATGCCACATATTTGGCGCCCTCTATCAGATACATTAAATTATGCATTAAATTATAATTGCTCCTACTCAAAAGCATCTAATTGTAAATTTTTGTCCATAAATATTTACAAAAGTGACAGTTATAGTGACAAATAAAATTTTAAATTTCCACTTTAACATCCTGTACATTTTACTCAAGCAACTTGGCTTAAATCGTAATATTTTAAAGTGTAGAATCTACGGTTTCTTTTTGTAGAACTACTTAAGGACCACCCTGTATATATACAAAAAATCAGTGTCGGAACTTAATTGCCAACCTCGTATGAAATGAAACTTTTTACCTTAATAAGCCTCATACAAAAAAGCATTTTTATGATAATTTGTCCTAATCTAGGACAACACGCATAAAATAAAAGAAACATATAGTTATTTGTTTACTTTATATAATGTATAATTGTGATATACATATTATTATAATTCAAAAAATGGGTAGATAAAATGAACCAGAGCGTTATCAAAACACGATTAATAACATTAACAGCGAATATTTATCTTTTATTAACAAGTACTAAGTTGACAAAATATGCTAAAGTTTTTAGTTACAGTGTCGATAATCCTTGCTATTTTTGCGCTAATTCTTTGTCAAGGTAAGAACAAATTTTTATGTATAATTTAAGAATGCTATATGTAGTAAGAGTATAATATACAGGGTGTCCAGAAACTCTCCTGGCAAACGAAAACCGGAAATTCTTCATATAATTTTAAGATGATTTAACCCAATTCACATAGTCCGAAAATGCTTCCTAAGGCAGTTCTTTGATGACGGTGCCTTGTAAGTTTTATTGAAGTTTATTCTTGCTGTCTCTATTCAAACTTTGATTTGTTTGGCGTAATCGTTTGTGTAATATATTTAAAAAACGAGTTCCCTCTCTACTCGTTGACACTAATAACAAAATTATTGTAAATGAGCAAGAAATAAGAAAAGAATGGCAGCTGTATATATCAGAGTTGTTTGAAGATGACAGGAATAATATTGCTGAATTCTACCAAAACTGTACTGACGGCCCAGAAATTATGAAATGCGTAGTAGAACATGCTATAAATAATGCTAAAATTAGAAAAGCTTGTGGTCCAGTTGATACAACAACTGAGTTGCAGCAACTAATAGAGAATGATAACATAAAAGTAGTAGTAAGACTTTTTAATTCAATATATAACAACGGAGTGATTCCCGCAGATTGGCTCAAATCCATCTTTATTGCAATACCCAAAAAACACAATGCGAGAAAATGCTCAATATCGATTAATTAGCCTAATGAGCCACACTCTTAAATTTTTTTTTAAAATACTTCACAACAGAATTCAAAGAAATTCTTCACAATAGAAATCAAATGCAAAGAAGATCTGGAAAATACCCAATTTGGCTTTAGAAATGCTATGGGAACCAGGGAGGCACTTTTTGTGTTTAACATCCTATTACAAAAATGCCGTGACAAAAGAAAATATGTATTTGCATGTTTCGTGGACTTCGAAAAGGCATTCGATAAAGTACAGCATGTAAAATTAATGCAAATACGGAAAAATATCGGAATAGATGACAAAGATATTCGTGTCATTAAAAATTTGTAGTGGAATCAAACTCCTATCGTAAAAATTGGAGATAACTACACATATGCAATCCATATACAACAAGGAGTCAGACAAGTTTGCATTTTGTCGCCAACATTGTTTAATGTTCAATGTTTACTCGGTCCAGTTATTTAAAAGGGCATTTGAGAGACAACCGTATGGAATAAAAATCCACGGGGAACTACTTATGTGATTAGATATGCTTAGATTGTTTGTTGTTTGTTTGTTTGTGTTTAAATGACTGCGGACACTAAATCCATTCGCCAATCTTACAATTTGAGGTGTAGTGTGTGTGTGTGTGTGTGTGTGTGTAGAGTAATTGTCTTGATACTTAGCAAAGTCGACGTCATTGTCTTTGCTAAGAGACGCTAATTGTATCCGAACGTCTGCGGTCCCTCCGGTGTGTACCGATCACACAAGGATAGAAATTATTTTCATTTATTAATTTTTTTTAATAAATGAAAATTTCCACCCAGGTGGGATTCGAACTCACGACCTTTAGGTTTAAAGGCAGGCGCTCTTACCACTGAGCCACAGAGGGGGTTGATATGCTTAGATATGCGATACAGTAATTCTATCAGATAATATTGAAGGTCTTCAAATTCTGTTTAAGCGTAATCACAATGTAGGAGAGAAAATGGTCATTAAAATAAACTCAAACAAAACCAAATTTTTAGTGTTTAGTCGTGACCCACATTCCGATGCAAAGCTTCAATTCAAAAGAGTCCAAGTTGAGAAAGTTCACAAAATGACATATTTGTGAACTGGAATAACGGACCAACTAGATTCAGAAATATAAATAAAACGTAGAATAGCAATTACTAAAACTACTTTTATGAAAATGAAGTCATTTCTTTGCAATAACCATCTCAGTTTAGAACTAAGGCAAAGAATGGTTAAGTACTATGTTTGGTCTGTACTTTTGTATAGTGCAGAAGTGTGGACGCTAAAAGTATCGATTATGAACAAAATTGAAGCATTGGAAATGTGAGTTCATAGACCAATGCTGAAGATACCTTGGACAGCGAGAAAAACTAATAAAGAAGTACTAAGGAGCGTCAACAAAGACAGAGAACTGCTAAAGACTGCTAAACATCGAAAAATATCTTGTCTGGGTCATATAGTAAGGAAAAGTCTATATCAAATTTTACAACTAATTCTTTAAGGCAAAATAGAGGGCCTTAGAGGTGTAGGAAGAAAGCAAGTTTCTTGGGTAAAAAATATTCGTGAATGTACTCAGATACCAAATGCAGAACAATTATTCCATATTGCAGAAAATCAAGATTTTAACGAGGCTCTTTACGGAATAGACGAAGGCATCCTTCTAAATGGTGAAAGAGTAAACAATGTTAGATATGCCGACGAGACCATGGTGATAGCAGATAGTTTAGAGGGACTTCAGAGGCTAATGGACAGAATAAACGAGTACAGTCAACATTACCGACTAAACAATAATACCCACAAAACGAAACAAATGATTATCAGCAAGGAGAATATAAACGGGGTTCATCTATACATTAATGGGACGCAGATAGAGCGAGTAAAACAGTATTGTTACCTAAGAACTATTATTAACGAACAGTGGAGCCATTTACAGGAAATAAAGTGCCACATAGGAAAGGCAAGAACGGTCTTTAACAAAATGAGCACCATATTCAAAAGTCACAACATATCCCCTACGATCAAACACATAAAATTATTGCAATATCTGTGACACGTTATAAGAAATCAGCACCGTTACTCCCTGTTACAGTCTATATTGCAAGGTAAAGTCAAAGGTAAGCGAAGACCCGGTAGAAGGAGAATATCATAGCTGCGGAAATTAAGAACATGATTTAAGAAAACCTCAACGGAGCTGTATCGAGCCGCAGCGAGCAAGGTTATGATTGCCAATGATTTCCAATATCCGAAACGGATAATTTTGATATGGCACGCGAAGAAGAAGAAGAATCGTTTGTGTGATTAATTATTGTGCCAAGATAATTGTAGTTTTCAACTTGTTCTAAAGTTTTACCGTTAATTGTCAGGCTTGTTTTGCTTTGAGGACTTCCATTAGCTGATTGTGGCGGACTTTACCGAAAGCCTTGTTGTAATCTATGAACCAGACATACATATCTTGGTTCACATTTAAGCATCTCTGGATTAATATGTCGAATGCAAATATAGCTTCACGGGTGTTCAATCACAAATTAATCCCTTAAAATTTCTAATCTCACATTATTCTTAGCTTCTTAATATTTTATAGTTTCACAGCGTACAATTAAATTATTGTGAAAACATATCGTGTAATATTTTAATAATTAGTCCATTTACCTGTAACTTAATAAATTACCGAATAAGATATTTTACAATTGAACTTCCTTAGTGTTGCAATTACGGCCAAGATTAAATTTTATTGTAACCTCATAGTTCAAAGTTTGTTAATACGATAGAAGAATTAACCTCTGTGCTGAGGTATACATTATTTGTGAAATTATAAATTGGGGATTTCAGCTCATTTGTGGGCAGTCTATTGTAGAAAGTTACCTAAACAATATCTATAATCTAATTATTATTAGCTGTCAATAAAACCATAATTTTTACTCCACCACTTCAACATTTTATTGTATTTAACATCGTCGATCGAGAAGAAGTAGACAGAATTGCATTACAAAATGATTCGTTCCTCATAACTACATTCGAATATGTCCAACGAGTACCTACGCCTCTACGAAAACCCAATTGGGTTTCTTTAATATCCATATCAAGTATTTGGTAAATGCGTTTATGGATAATCTTTAAAATCGTTTTAAGTGTGAGAGATATCAGACTTATTGTGCTGTAGTTGATGCATTTTTCTTTTTTGAAAGAAAAATAAATGTTAAGGTCAATCATTCATTGGGTATGTCACCCGACTGATAAATTAACGATCTTTAAGAGGACATCCATGTACTCTTTGTCTATTATTTTAAGAATATCAATAGGTTGTTGATCTGGCCCCGGGTTTTTTCCGTTTCTAGTGTTTTTTAGTGCATACAATATTTCTTCCTTTGTAATTTCTATACTTGTTTTTTGTCCCCGAAAGGTATGTCTTGTAGGTTTCATCTTTCGTCGTCAAAGAGCTCTTCCGTATATTCTTTCCATCGTTTTAGCTTTTCGTCAGTCGTTTTCATAGTATTTCCATTTTTATCTAAAACAGTTTTGTTGTGGTTCCTTTTTTCAGCCCTGCCATTTTCTGATATCATTTTGTGACTGTCTTTGTTCTTGGCTTATCTCCTTACTTCATCTTGCCAAGTATTTCTTCGGTCATCCAGTTGTCTCTCTTTCTTATCGCTTCTTTTAATATCCCTTTGCATGGAACGAGGAGGCAGTTTTTTAATGTTTTCCATTGTTGGCACCATTGTGGGCACCAGCGAGAGATATAATCTCAAAATATAAAAGCATAGTTTAGTCTTCGTTAATATAAAAGTAAAAATACTATTTAATAAATTATGGTATTAGAATATTATTAACTGTGGAAACTCTTTGAGATTTTTCTAGCGTACTTCAAGGTATCCAGTTCAATCCGGATGCAAATTTGGATATAGTAAGTCATTTTTTTTATTTAAACAAAAAAAAATAATTTCACTAAAACTCAACTTACATTTTGCTTAAAAATAGTACTAAAAGTGAGAAGTAAATTTCTTATGCAAACTTTCCATAATCGTACATTGGCCAAACCATTCGACTTATCTAAGAAGCCATAGAGATCAAAAGACACCCTAATTTTCTCAATAAAACAGATAATGATAACTGATTGCCTATAAAATGTATACCTTTCCTTAATCATTATAAATAATCATCCTTGTCGTCCTCAAATCATCATTCGCGCCAACTTTCATTCAAAATGTACCACCGTAGATATAAATAAAGCTGTCACAGACTGTAAACAGCAGTAAAAAGCAAAATGCGCAAATTGTCAATAAAAATACCTAGCAAGCTACATGAGAAGCCCTTACGAGCCTGAGGCAGGCTCAGATAAGTATGTCAATATATTAAGCAACAAAGAGAACAATTGGATTCTCATATCATCAAATCACCAAGCTCATCCAAAGCACAGTAGCATACTCATCAATCTTGATATCCAAAAAACAACAAAGAGGGCTAGCTATAACAGTAAAGGAGCTAGTATGGTCTACAAGGCGATTATTGTTAACTTCAATCTAAATTAAACATGGGAGTGACTAGACAAAACATTGAGTAGGGTATAGCTGGCCGGACAATAATATATGAGGCGCGAAAGAAAAGCAATACAAAAAAAATTAAAGATAAATTCCAACATCGGTACTAATCGCGGGTTAAATATTTTATGGATAAGTAATGTGATCATCGAGGACTTCTTCTTTGACCTCTTGACCTGTTCCTTGTCCCACTCCTTTTTCCAAAATAACCAAATTACTTTATTCTATTTTGTCCTATGAATTATATTATTGTCTAATTACTAAAAGGAAGTCACACACTTCATTTGTAGTACGAACTCTTGGATAAATATGGCTACCCACTGGAAACCCATTTTGTACAAACTGACGATGGTTACATCCTAGCACTACACAGACTACCTTTTGGAAGAAATCGAACAGAAGCAGACAGAAGAAACAACAAACCGGTGATTTTAATGATGCAGGGAATGTTCTGTAGCAGCATGGATTATGTTAACACTGGACCAGGAAGAGCATTAGGTCTTATACTAGCAGAAGCTAAATATGACGTCTGGTTGGGAAATAACAGAGGTACAAGGTGGTCCAGAAATCATGTCAAGCTAAATCCGGATAGAGATCCAGAGTTTTGGGACTTTAGGTACGTTTTATGCTATTATCTATATATTTAATAAAGTACTTCTTCTTCTTAAAGTGCCCTCTCCTCAATGGAGGTTGGCTACTACAATTTTAAACTCTTCTCTATCTTCAGCTGTTCTTATTAGCTGTTCAAAATTTAGCCCTGTCCATTGTCGGATGTTTCTGAGCCATGATAGTCTTTTCCTTCCTAGGACTCTCTTTATCTCGATTTTTCCTTTCACTATAAGTTGGGCATATTGGTACTTATTATTTCTCAGTATGTGGCCTAGGTATGATGTTTTTCTCACTTTTACTGTGTTAAAAAGTTCTCTTTCCTTGCCTATTCTATGCAGCACTTCTTCGTTTGAGGTATGCGATGTCTATGAAATTTTGAGTATTCTCCGGTAGATCCACATTTCAAAGGCCTCCAATTTATTTACGGTTGATGTTTTAAGGGTCCACGTTTCAACTGCATATAGAAGAGTCGACCAGACGTAGCATTTTGATGAACGTAGTCGAATTTCGAGTTTTATTCGAGAATCACAAAGCAGTTTTTTTATTTTTTCGAAGGATTTTCTAGCCTGTTCTAATAAAGTACAGTTTTTATAAAATGAGATGGCATTGTCCTAAATAAATTCTGCATTATAAATGGTATGTAACGTTATTATTCCTATAGGGTATTCCACGAATATACGACTGTTTGGAATTATTGCTACAACGAATATTTTACTGTAAAAGTAGAAGTATGAAAGTAAATTGGTCTAATTATTATTCCATAAAAAAGGATCTTCTGTTACTATGACATAAACTAAAATTATTTCAGTTAATAGATGTTCAGATAGACGCAAAATTTATTGTGAAATTTAATCCGAAAATAACAAAAAAAATTATGTAAACGCTTCTACAAATAAATACAATGACCTCTCAGTTAAAATGTATTCATTGGCCATTTGGGTTGGATTTCGGTGAAATGTAAACACCAAAGAGGCGTATCTTTACGGGTATCTTTATTACTTTATTACTAGGTACTACAACGGTAATAAAAAGAAATATATTATTTTTAATATAAATAAAAATAAATTGGCAGAAGGTTCAGAAACCAGAAAAAGAATCTAGTATTCCACTTTGTTAGTTTTTGGTTTGCTTTGAGTGGATATACTCTTAAAAGTTCCGAAAGTAGCAGGTATAACATGGCGGCTATTGATAGTTAAAGTACCGAGTAATTACAGATATTAAAAAGTAACGAAAATTTACATATTTTCATAAATCGCCGACTGATTTTAGTTTTAAAAACCGTCCGTATAGAGGTGTCCGGTGAAGAGACGTGTCCGTTAAGAGAGAGTTTAGTGTAGTGTATTTGTTTGTAATGGTGATAAGGAGAATAAGAGTAACAGTAAGTTTTTTTGTTTTTTTAATTCTAATTGAATATTCGACTAAATAAATTAAACTATTTAATCACTTAAGTATTGTTACACTTTGTTTAAATCACTTAATTCAAAAACCAACTTGTTTACAATACTAAAGTCAATGAGAGTAATTATACGAGTATACATCAAAATCTGAATTACAACTATTCTATAAACTATCAATTCTATATTTAGATCATAACTTCATATTTAAATCTAAGGTGTATATCTGTCATAACAGTATTTTAAAAATGGAGAGAATTTACTATTGTACATTTCAGCACATTGGACCATTTAAGTCGACACCTTAAAGCGAATTTAAAACAGTCGTATATTCGTGGAATGGAGTATACATGTTTATGCTTTACATTTGGTAATCACCAAAATTTTTATTATATACAAAATGTCGTGTTAAGCAGAGTACAAATTTCTCATATTTTGCTAAAATTTATTTATGGAAAGAAATATTTGGCAATGGGTGCATGAGTAAGTTTGTTAAAATGAGAGGTTACGTTAGTGATGGATGAAATAGCTTAAAACTATAACTTTATCTTCAAATTAACAAGTTTTAAACCTTTTTTAAGGGGTTCGTCTCTATTTCAAATCCTTTTACAACTTTAACCATATAACCAATACTAATACAATCTTTAACTTAACAAAACCCCTTTATTTTCTTTTCATACGTGTTTTAGTTTTGATACAATGGGCGAGTTCGACTTACCTGCCATAATTGACTACATTCTGAAGACAACGTCTCAAAAAAATTTGACTTACATCGGATTCTCTCAGGGTATTACACAATTTTTGGCAATGGCTTCTTTAAAACCCAAGTACAACAATAAAGTCACCGTAGCTGTCCTTATGGCTCCTATAGCGTATACGGCCAATATAAGATCCCCGCTGTTAAGACCTATAATAAAGAATATGAACAGAATAAAAGTAAGTAGGTATATGTTATTTATTATAGTTTTTTTTTTATTTGAAACTGCTTCAACCACAAGGGTTATTAGCAGACGTCGATTTTACAGATAACGTAAATATAACAGAAAAATAAAGAATATAATTAGACTTTGTTATTTAGTCCCAGCACACATTGCTAGAAGAACAGGCACGATGGAAAAACTGATACTCGAGGGTAGAGTTGAAGGAAAGAGACCCAGGGGAAGATCTCCAGGCCGTTGGGTAGATCAAAGAAAAATATTGATTAACCAAGGGTTACTGGTAGAAACTTCAATAAACGAATAGCAGAACATAAAAGGGCTTTCAATAATAGAAAAACAAATTTTACATACGCACTTCACCTTCTAGATCACAATCATTCTTTTAATGACGAATTTAAAATTCTTCACATTCAAAATAAAGGCCTTAAGCTATCCTTGTTAAAATCTATGAAAAACAACAAATTGAAAAACACAGATATAATTCTGAACGACTAACTTGAGACTATAAAGTGTAAACGCATGCCAAAAATAGATCACTTAAGAAATGCAATCAGCCGAAACAGCTGTAGTGATAGGAAGTTAAAATAAATTTTGCGGATGTTCGAAAACAAAGTTTTCAGTGTTTTATTGTTACACAAAATTAATTTCCATCAAGTTACGGTCGAATCCATCAATTACTTAAATCTTTACCTACTGTGATTTGTTGTACTTTATCGGTAGCTTCCGCGTTTTTTCTTTCGCTGGATTATCAATATACATATAGCTTAAAATGGGATAATTCTTGGGATTAGGCTGTATAACATTGTAATATTAGTGATTATGTATACATTACAGAATACGTACTGCTGCACTTTCGTGAAGGAGTTAACAAATTCAGTATTTTTTTGTGTGTTAATTTATTTAATTTTTAGGAAATTTTAAACAAATTTGACATACATGAGATACTAGGGTATAACCATTTGATGGCTAAGATACTCTCGTGGATAGTTTCCGATGGATCTCCCCTCCAACAATTCGCTACCCATCTGGTGTTTTTAATATATGGATATGATAACGATCAGCTAAATAAAGTAAGATGCTTTCAATTATTTTAAGAAATAAATAATTATGTTGTGAGAATATTTAAGTAATTATAGGCCGATCAGATACCAGCATATTCTAGACCAGGGGTGCTCAAACGGTCGATCGCGAGTGCTTTTTGGGTAGATTTTAAGAAGAAAAAAAATTTTAATAAGTAAGTAGGTAACTAAACTACTGTCAGCAGAGTTACACGTTTTTATTAATACTGAACTATACAAATACATAGAATGCTTGACTAAGCATCATTGCAATTCAAAGAAGTGGGGACAACAAAATACTGTCCACACAGCATATTTTATATTTACATATATTTTTTTATTAACTAATTATTTTATTAATTTAGTATTTATTAAAATTATTAATCAAATTTGGGATGATATTCTATCAACTACAAAAATGTATTACGTAATAAAATAACACTGCTTGCGGCAAAAGGTGGCTTTATCAAAGGAACGCGCGGCACTTGTCAAAGAAAAGCCGTGTTGTTTCTAGACGAGAGACAGTAGTACAGTCTAGTTTCGGGCGGCGCGTTTAACGGGAACATTCGAGACTTTCGTTTACGCCGATATAAATGTTGCGCCAGCAGGAATTGGAGGTATTCTGAATTGTAACTTGATAGCGATCCTACGTCGATACAAAGTTTATTATTAAATAGTGGAAAATGAGTGCAGTGAAGAAATCTAAAACGTATCATTTTAATAAGGATTGGGAGGAAGAATTTTTCTTTTCTATGGTGAAGGATAAGTGCATTTGTGTTATTTGTCGTGCGTCAGTTGCAATACCTAAGCGTGGTAACTTAGAGAGGCATCATAAAACGGTTCATAAAAACTATACAACGGATTTTCCACCACAGAGTAAATTAAGAAAACGAAAAGTAAGTGATTTAAAAAGCATCTTTGAAAGCAAGGATTCCTTAGTTGAATTATGGTACATATGAGGCTGAATTATCAAATATTTTGGGACAATTCGAAATGCATTTTTATGATTGCAGTAAATGGAAATTATAGCATCATTTATGAGTTATCCTTTTTCATGTAAAAACATTAAGGAATTAGCTACTGAAATAGCAAGTCAGTTTAATATGAACTCATGTTCTGTTGAAAATGAGTTGGTGCAGATTATATCAGATATAGATCTCAAAGCTACAGTATCTGATCCAAATTTCTGGCGTTTTATATCTGAAGATAAATATCCGAATGTAAGGCAAATCGCCCTTCAACTGACGGCATTTTTTGGGTCAACTTACTTGTGCGAGTCCGCATTTTCTAAAATGAAGATAATTAAGCCAAAATATCGCAATCGACTAACTGACGATCATTTGACATCATGCTTGCGATTAGCACTCAGTGGTTACGGACCATCTTATGAAAAGTATGCTGAGGACATGCAGTGCCACGCTTCAACATTTAAAGCCACTCCTTAGTTAAGTTTAACACCATATGTAACTCTTTTGTTTTGTAACAACAAATAAACTCGCAATTTTGAATAACTATGAGTTTTTTCATTGATATTGTAGAGAAGAACCTAACTAAACCTAACCCAAACCTTGACTAAAATAATGTACCTATATTGTGCAGAAAGCTAATATCTATATATGCTACGGTACGCCCTACCTAGGTAGGTAGGTAGGGTGTATCGTGTATGTACGACAACCCTGCATCACACACACTTGCAGTCTCTTAAAGTCGATAGTAAGTAGTCTAAAAATATTGAGGTAGATCGCCAGCAGTTCAAGTTTGAGCACCCCTGTTCCAGATTAAGCCGCAGATTCATTTAGAATTTTAAACTGCTGCGTTAGCCTTTTTGTTTTCTGTACGTTCCTAGATCTTGCCATGATTTTTATAAAAAACTTAAACCATACTAGTGATACCAATAGTGACTATCCAGAAAGAGACTCACCTGAGGATAACTGAGTGGTTTGCACCGAAAATACCTTTTTATTTCGATACAAAGATGTTTTGTATTTATATACGTGAATTGTATGGTTAAATAAATTTTGTAAGTCAAAGCGTATTACAGTTGTTATTAAGTATCCCACACCAAGTCTTATAGTTCAATAACTTTATTAGAGGGATACAACACCATGTCCATTAAAAGGATTAAAAAGGGTTAAAAACACACAAAATAATAAATATTTTTAATGTTAACGAGTGTGTGATGTAAAGAACAATAGATAGAATGTACTATTAAAATATCGTTTCAACATCCAAATAAAGCGTTGAGGTAATAACACTTTAAAACTGCTCTCCTGAAAAGTTAGGAAAATGGACATAGTGTTGTATCCTTCCGAGGTACAGATTTACAGTATCATCTATTTCAAAATAACACTATTACATTTTTTTAGACAATGTTACCTGTTTTAGTAAGCAATTTTCCTGCTGGAGCATCTGCACAGATGGCTTACCATATTGCTCAAATTAGTCATTCAGGTATAAATTTTATTCATATTATATCTAAATTGGCTTTATAAAAAAATTACTAAATATATAGTAATAATGATTTTAATTTTAATATTTGAAGAAACAAATTAACATAATTTTATTATGTTAATATAACATTAATAACATAATGTTATAAATGCAGTAGCAAGAATTTCTCGGTGCAGTTATTCCTTAGCTAATGAATAGTGTTTTTCTGCCAATTAAGATAACACATCCACTTTTTTTAGAATAACTGGTAAGAACACTATTAACTTATATTAAGGTGTGGAGTACTGCCAGTGACAACAATACAGACGATCCTATAGACAAACAGATATTCTTGGTGACCTGTATTTAGTCTTGTCTTAGGTGTTTGTTCTTCCAGATTATGTTATTAAGAGATCCGCCGCTTTACTTGCTTTTAAGCTTTGTTGTGGTACTTCTTCAACAGCTCCGAATCTAGTTACATCTATTTAGATGTTGCCATACATTAGCTTTTTCTTCTAAAATTATCATATTTTATTTCTTGTCTGTTGTATTAAAGATGTGTGTTAATCGTTGGAGCTTGTCTTTCGTCTCGACGATTAATGCGGCGTCGTCTGCATAAGATAAATATTTGGATTTGTTTGTTCCCCATTATGTAACCATAACCTTTACATACTACTTGCATTATCTCGTCCATTATTATATTAAAGAGAAGTGGGCTTAACGAGTCACCCTGTCTGACTCCGCTTTCTACTGGCATACACTGCGTTAATTTTTCATTTATCTTTGCCTGTATTTGATTATATAATTAAAAGTTTTCCATGGTTTGTATAATATTGATTGATATATTTCTTTTATAAAGTAGGTGTAAGACGTCTTCGACTTAAATGCGATCGAAGGCCTTTGTCAGGTCTATAAAACATAAATATGCTGGTTTATTGTACTCAATGGCCTTTTCTGTTACATATTTGTTTTAGTACAAATACGACGTCTACGCAGGATTTTCTTGATCTGAATGCTTGTTGTTCATCTGATAAAGTGGTTGGTTTATTGATTTTGTTGGTTAGGACTTTTGTGGTAAGCTTAAATACGGTGTTCGGTAGATTTATACCTGTATAATTGTTGGGATCTATTTTGTACCTCTATAAAGCTCAATGTTTTATTTTCAGTAAATGGTATATTATAAAACTGTAAAGACAAAAATATTAGGGACTTCTAGTTGAAAAAATGTTAAACTTGATAGAGTTTACCAATATTATAATGAATTGAATGTACAGATCTATTAATATTTCTTCCATCACACTTTTGAAGTAGTAGGTCGTAGGAGCAAGTACTAGGACGACGTATGTATTTTCTATTTATTTTTTAGATAATTTCACTAGGTATGATTATGGTACAGAAAAAAATATGAAAATTTACGGACAACCAAATGCTCCTGAATTTAATCTGTCTGCTGTAACAACCCCTGTAGCACTGTACTATGCTAAAAATGATTTTTTAGCAGCCTATGAGGCAAGTATATTATTTATTGACCTATTACTGTGATTTTCATATTAAAAGCTTAACTAATTAAGCCTATTTGCCTAACGTCATATAGTGTCAAGCATTTGTTTAATGTGTGTTTTATCTTCCATCCATTTTTCGTATTGTCTACCTCTATAAATTTTTATGTTTCAAATACACTGACCGACAAAAAAAGTGACCACCCTATAAATTTCCGAAAATATTATTTTTAAAATATATTTTATTTTTAAAATAAAAAATGGCAATTACTGTTTGATTTCTTAGCACAATTTATTTAATATATGGCTACAAAAAAAATATTGTAATATCGAAACGAATTGCAAACAATAAAAATTACAAGTGAACTTAAACAAAATGTTTAATATTGGGTGTTATGCCCTAAAACATTAATAACCGTTTGCATACGATTTGGAAGGGAAGGGAAACAATTTTGAATAAAAACTTAAGGAATACGTTCTTATTCTTCACAAAGCATGTTTGAAGTTCTGCAAGACTTTCTAGCTAGTTTGGTTGACTTATAACCTTACAATGAAGGTCATCCCAAGGTCACTATTTTTACTACTTCTACGGCACAAGTATGGTCATTAGACTGAGTAATTATATAATTATTTTGTAGGATGTGGTGAAGCTATCCAAGGAATTACCAAACGTCATCAAAAACCACACAATTAACTACACAAATTTCAACCATATAGACTTTTTAGTTGCAAAAGATGTCTCCACACTATTATATAATGACATAAGAATGCTTATATATAACTATACTTCTTCGGAGGATATTGACACAACAACAATCGCATTATTGCCTCTATCAGGATGTGCTCTCACAAAAAGTGATATCTTGGTCCTTATATTGGCACTGATAAGTTTATTGAAGTATTTGTAAAAGTTTAAGTATATGATAATTTTAATAAATGTATTTATTTTCCATTAAAATTGTAACAATATTTACGTTTTTTTTATATTATCCTGGCACCAAGTGATCGACTAAGCGTTTTGATTATTTTTAGTTTTGATAGTTTGAAGTTATGATTAGGTCGTGCTGGAAAAACATGTAGGTGATTACGAATTAAGCTAACAGTTTCTAAGATATATCAAGTAGAAAGAGTTAAAATCCTATAACCCTTGAAGTAGCTTCTGCAATGAGTTATTCTACTATAAAAAAGATACCGTGTTGCTCTTGTTTGCAATTTAAAAATAACGTCAGATTGGGCAGCTGTACTAGAATCCATAAAAGAAGCCCATAAAGCCCCAAAAATATGTTATATTGGAAAATGCTAAATAAAATTACTTCAAAACAGATCTTATTGCATAGCAGGCTAAGGATAGTTTCTTACTTAACAAATCTATATAAATGGACCATTTAAGGTTGCTGTCTATAAAAACACCAAGAAATTGGGTGAAGAGGGTTGAAGAGCCTTTTTATAGGATAATTCTAATGTCTTATCTACGTTAAAAGAGAGTAAATTAGAGTCGAACCAGGTTATTATCATAAATAGATCGGAAGTTATAGTTTCCTGAAGAGCTGCAATATTAAAGCTCCTCCAGATAGTACTGGTATCATCAGCAAACAGTTCATTTGCCCATGGATTTTGAAGTAAGTGATACCGTTTATAAAGATAAGGAAAAGTAGAGAACCCAATATTGAACCTTGTGATACTCCACTAGCAATATTTTGTGACCAGATTCAGTATAATTTGTTCTAAGTATTTGTTTCCAATTCCTCAAGTAAGATTGCAACCAATTCAAAGAAATACCTCGAATTCCGTAGAAATTTAGTTTTTTGTATCAAAATGTGATACACAATTAAAAGCTTTGGCATAGTCACAAAAAACAGTAGCAGTGTAAAAATTATTATTTAGTGCTTGATAGACTTCATGAAGTAGAGAAAACATAGCATCACTGGTACATTTATTAGATAAAAAGTCCAACTGACTTTGTAATAAAATGTTGTTTTCAACGGGAAAGGACATAAGTCGGGGTTTTATAAGTCTGTCAATATTGTTGGATAGGATCGGTAGTACCGCAATTGGTCTATAATTGCAGACATTTAATTTTTGGCCGCCCTTATAGATAAGAATAATAATTGCTGTCTTTAGGCACTCTAAAAATATGTTGAATTTTTTGTGATTCTACATTAGGGTCGATATCCACTGCCAAGATTCCCGTGTCAGCGGCAAAATAACTAAGAAGATACCATTGCAGGTTGGAACGTCTGCTGTATATATCAGATACAAAAATGGGCCCAAAACACTATCCTGAGGTACGCCAGATTGTAAGAAGTAGTAATTTGAGTAGCTGTCTTAAATTTTGACTTGGAAGTAACGGTTAGTAAGACACGATTTTATAATAAAGTAGAGTTGGTCTTTTAGGTATAATTTCAGTTTTTAGAGAAGACCTTTATGCCATACTCTATCAAATACCTGTTGTGTATCTAGAAACAATTCAACACAAAACTTTTCTCTTCCAGAGTTGTTGTCCACTGTCGAAGTAAATGTTGTCAGAGGAAGAAAAAGTATACATGGAGTTTTGAGGTACATTCTTATATCTTCATATTCATCGTTATTAGTAGCTGGTGCTGCAAACATAGTTAGAAGATGCTCTTCGAATACTGTTGTTTTTTTTTGAGTTTGTGCGGATCCAGGTCACATCTGTTTTTCTTAAACGTGAATTTGTTATTGTCAGTCGTTTAAATTCTTTTGTAGCTTTTCATATAGAGTAATATTCATGTAAGGTTTAAAACCTAAAACTGGAAAGAGTCGTTTATTCATAATCTTCAAAGTTTTTGAAGATTTCTTTTCTTCATTCATGAATGCACTGCAGTACAGTCATTACTCTACAGTAAGAATAACTATGCCAACCAGTGTAATATTTCCCCTAAATAGGCACGTGCTTTAAATTGAATAGAATAGAATAGAATAGAAATATGCTTCATTGTCACTGAAAATTATTGAACAATTTTATGGACAAAGCTAAAAAATAAATCAGTCAAATAGTACAAAAAGTATAAAACAAAAACAAATATAGTAAAAAACAGAATAACACAATTTTAAATTAGTAAAATTATTGTATAACCTACATAATTTGTACAGACAACAACAAATGAGACAAATTTTAGCCACTGCTTGAGACACTTAAATGTAATTATAAACAATAATAATTTTGTTTCTTTGTTATACATTAAGAAACTCGTCAACTGAATAATATGGTCTTTCTGAGAGATAGATTTTTGTCACCTTACGAAACTTAATGAAGGATGTTGCGGATTTAATTTCTCTTGGAAGGTGATTATAAAGTTTCTTTGCACGATATAGAATAGAATTCTTTACTAGCTGAGTGGACGGGATCGGCAAATAAACGTTACAATCCGAATTTCTAATGGAGTAGCCATGGTCAGGTCTATCGGGAAAAATGTTTAGATGCTTTCGAATCAAACAAACCATTTCCAAAATAAATAAAGAGGGAAGCGTCAAAATTCCGTGATTTTTGAAGTAGGTCTTGCAATGAGTTGTTTGTTTGAGACCAGAGATAGATAACGGATTGCTCTTTTTTGCAACTTAAAAATAGTATCAAATTGGGCCGCTGTACTAGAACCCCAAAATGGAAGCCCATATCGAAGATGGGACTCGAACAATAAGAAATATGCCATTTTGGCAAAAGATAAATTTAGTTCCTTCGAAACAGATCTTATTGCAAAGCAAGCTGAGGCTAGTTTCTTCCTTAAGGAGTCAGTATGCAAGGACCATTTGAGATCACTGTGAATGAGAATACCTAGAAATTTCACGGAGTTTACGATATTGATTTGGCTCTCATTCAAAAGCAAGGGTTGCATGACTCCTTTATAAGATAATGCTACAGTCTTATTCACGTTAAAGCTAAGTAAGTTGGAGTCTGACCAAGCCTTGATTATAACTAAATCAGCGGTTATAATTAAATGAAGCGTTGAAATATCAGAGCTGCTCCAAGTAATACTGGTATCATCAGCAAATAGAAAAATTTTCCCATTAATTTTCAAGTAAGTGATGTCATTAATGAAAAGTAAAAAAAGAATGGGACCTAATACTGAACCTTGCGATACTCCACACTCAATATCTTTACAACTAGAGTCGGTGTCATTTATTCTAACCAATTGTTTTCTACCTACCAAGTAAGTTTTGAACCAGTTCAAAGACACACCCCGAATTCCGTAGAAAGTTAATTTTTTTAATAGAATGTTGTGATTTACGCAGTCAAAGGCTTTGGAATAGTCTATCTTACGCAGTCAAAGGCTTTGAAATAGGATATCTATGCCTTTTTTCTAATATTGGAGAAATGCAAAATATGCAATATATTGTAAGGTTAAAAGTCAATTAAACAAACTTACCGAAAAACGTGATAACAAAAACGGATATAAAGGAAACATTATTTTATAAGGGTACACAGGTATTAGTAATAATAAACCAATTAAATAAAAGCAATAAATAAATAAATAAAAATAAGTTGCAAAAACGTTTTTATAGTCGAGTAAAATCAATTGAAATTTGTATTATCGCTCAAAAATGGCAAAAAATTATTTTAAATACAGAAAAAAACCAATCGTTATTAAAAAGGGACATCGCATTGTCGCAGTGCAATTCCCAGTTGATGGAAAAACTTGAGAAAATAAATATTTGAAGTTAATTACTTTTCGGAGGAAACCAATAGCGGCACGAAGTTTGGAATCGTCTTGGTGTATTAATCACAAAACAATAACCCTAAAAATTAATGGGCCATAGATTGAACTGAAAGTTGAATAATAAGTTGGTGGTATGGGAGTATCGGTATGCCTTTGCTTCATTTTAGTAGGACCGGAATAGCCCAATATTGTAAACTAGAACTATTTTACTCATAAATGTTTTCAGTTTCTTTTATAATTAATAAACATTTGCAATACCCTTAACGTTAATTATGCAAGTTTCTTTTAACCAGAATTCCTTACCACCTAGTTAAAGATTAGCATCCGTCACCTTTATTTTTAAAAAGGGTAATAAATTCGACCCCAA